TTTCCTTTCGTCTTCTTTGAGCTTCTTTGCTTTCTGCAAAACCCTATTCGATGTCGAAAATGGCAAAGAATTAGACTTTCCAGCCTCCTGTAATTCTCTTACACAACTTGGTTTGTCTAGTGCGGCTTGAAGAAGTAACAGAATCGAGTCCTCCATTATCAGCCCACCCAAGAACAAGTTTTTCTGCCTTGGAATCCATTGAAACTTGGAATCTGCAGCAGCCTGTTAGCTTTATAAGTAGCAAAATTTGGAATCTCTTGCTTTATGTACAAACATAAAAGATAAAACTATAAATCAGTTTTTTTACCTTGTTAATCATCGATAGTTCATCTGTCACTGTCTGTGCATGAATTATACACGGTTGTGCTGCTAGCGGTGGAAAATCTATCCGGCTCTGCAGTGGTACTAACCTTTCCATTTTGATCATCGGAATTCTTGGTCTTCAACCCTTTGATTGCAAAGAGCTTGTTCACATCACAAGTTTAAGTTCTTTAGGGAAATTCGGAATTCCCTTGTTGTTCATCTTCAAAAACTTGACTGAACTTCCATGGAAGCCAAACTTGGGTGATCCCGGTGATAACTTCTTCTTCTTCAAATACCCTCTTTCCGAAAGGTAAAATCTCTAAGACGAAAGGTTCTTCTTTTTGTTTGAGGAGTTCACCGAGTTGCCTAGCTGCTGGCTTGGATGATTGATTCGCCATTAGAACAGTGTTGTTGAGTTCAATGGTCTGAATTATGGGTTTTAAAGTTGAAGGGTGTTGATTAAACGGAGAAGACAAGACATACTTGTCAGTTTGGGACTGAACAATACCAGAAACACAAAGGAAGATTGGGGTTTTAGGGATATGTGGGAGAAAGACTAAGCTCAAGGCTTTTACTCTATTTTCGTCTTCTGTTTCAGTGTTTTCTTCATTTAAAAAAAAAGTAAGAATAGTTATGTGAAGTTGAAATTTAAATTTAAAGTATGAAAATTTGAAAAATGTCACATTGAATTTTGCAATCTAATCGATGTCACATCTAAAAAATAATTATGTTAATTAAAATAAAATATTAATTTATTGTAAGGACAGACTACATTGATGGTGTGAGATGCCTTGTCCCCCCACGTCTTTAATTCCATTATATTCTAAATTTTAAAGAATTTTAAAATTAATGATATGGTAATTCTATTAAAAACTATCATTTTAAAAAAACAACACCTTTATGATAAATTTAATTAATATAATCATTGTTGTAAGATTAAAAGTACGTTGGTTTCATGGTTTGGCCTTAGGCTACTATTAATATAATGTGGGGTTTGAGAAGAAACCATCATTGGAGGAACCCTTGTCTACTTCAATCACAATAACGAAGAGGCAACCCTTTTCATCTTTCGATCTTCTTCTAGTTTTTGCTTATATTATCTGCTCTTTTATTCATCGTCTCCAATGGCAAGATTTATTACCTTTCTGTGTTTCAAAATGACAACAATGAACACGAACTAAGCTACCTCGATGGTAAAATAATCTTTGTTTTTTTTGAGGTTTTGGATTCGAACAAAGTGAATACTGTTCTTAAAGTGGATTCTGGACAAAGAGTAAATGACCTTCGATTCTGTCGATTCAAGATTTTATTGGAAACCAGGTTGTAGTGAGAATCCAATAGCTTTGGTCGGCTCATTGGTGAGTGTAGTTTTATGGATGCGGCCTTGTTACTGATATTTGCATTTTGTATTGAACTGCGGCTCTATTCAATGGTTTTTGCATATGGTATGATCGTGTTAGTTTCACTAGACTCATGCAAAGAGCTACGCTTTATTGTACTGTTTGAGTTTGGATTTAACAAAGTTTTCCAAGTACTTTTTCTCCTTAACAAGCTTGAGGGAGTTTTTAATGAAACCCATCATTTTAGAAAGAAAATTCTAAGCATCTGAAAAAAATCAATACTGATCAATATGAAATTTGATCATACAAATTTCTAACCGAATATTGATTTTTTTAAGTGTTTAAATATTATTTTTTAATATAAAATTATTGAATGATTAAAATAATACTAATACGTGTGTTGGTATTGCCCGACCTATCTCATGCTCTTTCTAACACATCTCTTTAACACACATCGTGTATGTTTCCTTTTTCTTTTCGAAAGGAATTTGTTTATTCATTGTGGTCCTTAGTATTTGTGTCGAATACATATTTAAATATAAATATAAGAGAATGGTAGTGTTCAAATATGAGATATATTTTTACTATATATATGTATATTCTACACTTATTTTAAATTAAAATAGCATATTGTAAAATTAAATTAGTAGAAAATATAAAAGCAAAAGAAGTTGATTTTTTTAAAATCAAATAGAATTCAACTTTTGAGGATAATGTTAATATTTTGACAACTCTATTCTCTTACCTTAAAGAAATTGTAGTCTTCTCTCATTACAAGTATTAGTCGAACAATGTTTTGAAATTGTCTTATTTATATGATAAGTATGGTTGGACTTTCCTTTGCTATTGAAAAATAATTGTACATGACATTGGCTGTTTGATTTTCCACGAAAATAGTCTGGTCGTACATACATGCCACCACTATTTTCAGTAGTTTAATTCATTATTTATAGGGATTATTTCATATAAAACACAATTTTCAAACTTCTTTTCTTTTATTTATTCGATGAGATCAGAGTTAACAGAATATTTTTGACAATTTCATTTAAAAAAACCCAAAACTTATATCCATTTGAGTTCCAATATGAACTCTTCTACGGTGTCATAATTATCTTTATAATTGATTTTTTTAATAGTTTATGTATTTACAAAGTAACATAATACACATCCTACGCTCCCTACAAATGTAACTGCTCGAATTCAAGATACCAAGGGAAAACGACACTCCCTTTAAATCAACGAGACCACTCAACGGGATTTTTATAATTAAATTTTAAATAACTCAATTTTCAAATATATTAATAAAACACACGGATAATTTTATAAAAATTCATTTAAAAAGTCATTTTATAATTAAATTTGGAGTATAATTATAACATGTTTTTTTACAATTATCATGAAATCTAGTATTGAATTGAGTATAATTAAATGATTCCAATCGCACTCTCCATTTTTGAAGAGAAAACGTGAATTGATGTAATTAAGATCTTCACTTCTTATGGATATTCTTATTAATTCACACATTAAAATGTTATTATTATTAGTAATAGTAATATTATGTTTAAAATTATTATTATTATTGTTTATCATTATTTTGTTCACATCTTAAGTGAATATTCAACATAAAATCACTAATAATAATAAATTTATTAGGATTGAAAAAAGTGTTGTAAATAAATACTACTATTAGTAATTTTACTATTGAATAATTCAATTTTATATTTATAAAACCAAATATAATATAAACTAAGATCCAATTATATTATATTTATCAAGTATACCTAAATAATTAGAATCTTAATATTTTCACTATGATATAATTATTATTGATGTAATTATACAATTATGTCTAAATAGGAACAGAGCTACGATACAATGCTGAGAGGGTAAAATTGTTTTATATCAAAATAATAAGAATCAATTGAGTATTTAGACCCAAAAATTAAAAATGACAAAAATCTTATTTAACTAATATCTAAACTAAGAAGGACCTAAAATATCATTATACTAAAAGAGGGAACCGAGCTTAACAGGCGTTGAAAATGAAGCGGCGGCGTAAATGTTGTTCATATTTATAAAGTTGGGTGTTTTAAGTTTAATTTTCTAAATTAATGTCCCTTGTTAGGGTTTACTATAAATATCGTCATTATCAAGAAACACATATTTTAAAGGTAGTGAGTTCAAACAAATATACAATAAATTCTCTTTTATTTAATTACTTTAATATTTACGAATAAAAAATAATTAAGAATTTATTAGATTGAGTAATTTACAAAACATATCATGTGAAATTTAGACAAAGTTACCTAAAGTTTACAAAATCCAAACAATAAGAACCATTTTTAATCTCATTTTAAGTATAGTTACGTTTACCCAACAAACATAAACAATAATCCATGGATAAACTACACCACTAACTATTGAACTTTAGACACTATTTCATTTTGGTCATTAAATTATAAATATTTTATTTTTATCACTGAATTTTCGAGTTGAATTTCGTTAACAGTTGAATTATATCAATTAATCTCAAAATTTTAAACTGATTGAATCCCACCTTAACGAATATTGTTATTTTTGTAACATATATAAGAACGTAAATTTAAATGTACTAAACACATAACTAAAAATGAATCGAAAAGGCTGATGTTGGCCATAGCTATAATATTTTTCCTATAAAAGCTTGTATCTATGTTAACAAGAAAGGTGTTGTAATTACTCAAGCATATACAAATTTTAGGTCAACAAATTACAACAAGAATTAATAGTATCAATAGATTAGATTAAGTTTTTTTAATACAAAGGTCAAAATATGATAAATTAAAGAGGTAGAAGTAACTTCTCAACTTTTGTACAGTAAATGGATGAAATTTGTAATTGGACCTAAATTATCATCCTATTGAATTTTATATAGATTTAAAATAAGTTAATGAGACATTAAACCCTTAAACAATGTCTTAAAATGAATAAAATAGACTGAGTTATAAGAATCATCTCATAGTACGTCTTTATAATACTTAATTTAAATTAATTGATCCATTGATAAATATCGAAATATTTTTTTTAAGAAAAAAAAACTTGGAATTCTAACGACACACTCCACGTATACTGGGACTTATCTGATGGTTTTTGTGTAATCTGCGTGCTTGTGAAATAGTCAAAATCCAACAAAGCATCGGATTTCTGCCATTAATCCTCAACTACCTTATAAAACCCTTCCAACAACACCAATTATCTTTATTCAGCTCTACCTCTCCATACCTAACTCTCTATCCTCCATAATAATTCTTTGTTTTTCAACCTTTCTCATCAAAACCCATATTTTTTTTCCAATCACTGAAATCTCCGTTATCAAGAATGAGCCTCAAAGTCAATACACAGAACGAGTTCATGAGGTTCATCACGATTCCCTTCAGAGCCCTGGGCAAAGCGAAGGATCTTTACGTTAAGAGCTTGACGAGTTGCGCCGCAAGCGTCAGCTTCAGCCAAGGCGGCGGCGATTACGCGGGACAATACCCGGGTTTTCCGAGGAGCTTCAGTGCGAGCTCGGCGGCATCTAGGCGTGATGACGAAGATCTTAAGGATCTCATTAGAGCTGCGTCGATTAGGAGCTTGGGTCATAAGAACGAAGTGGAGATGTTCTTGCAAGAACAATTGAAGCAGATGAGAGCCGCGAAAGGGTTGCCCAAGAGTTCCAGTGTTGGGATGGGAAAAATCGATGAAGATCAACCTTTTGAATTCGAAGAAAAGAACGAAGTTCATCGTGTTGATAATAATAATAAGAAGAAACAAGATTCGTTGTTTACCAGAAGTAAAACCTACGCCGTCACCAAAAGGAGTAGCGTTGCTTTTGATTCTTACTGATTTTATGTAAATTTTTTTGGGATGTAAAGGGAAGAAATATATACACATATATATCTTTTTTCTTTTCTTTTCTCTTTATTTCATTTTTTTTTGGTTGTTTATTAGAAAAGTGTTTTCAATAATTGTAGTATTTATTGTAAGATCGATGGGGCTGGTCTTGTTACTGCAACTGCAGTGGCCTATAAGGGTCGAGATCGTGCATGCAAGTTATGCAGTTGGATCTGTAAATATTAGCCAGAAACAATCGAATACATCGAGGGAGATTTTAAGATGTTAGAGATAATATTGACTATTTTTTTAACCTTTGGAGATGTATTTCAATATAGTAAAAAATGTGTTTTAGACATGCTGAATATATTTCAAACAAGGGAATAAGATACGATCTTCAAATATGAAAATATCGAATATATATCCGACACTAAACTTAAGTAACATAGTTTTAGAGCTCACCTCAATGCATCAGTAGATAACCTCCCTTAGTGTTCTAGATTGACATTATTTATTTGTTAATTTTCTAGTATTATCTATTTACTATTGTTGATTTGGTTCTGTTTTGCTAGTTTTCGTGCAAAGCTCTATTTTCCAAAAAAATAACATTAAAAGGTATGATTATGCAGTTTTTATTTTTTTGGAATCGTGGCTGGACACATGGGCACGACACGGTCTGATGTGACAATTTCTAAAAGGTCCAGTCAGCATTGGAAAAATTCTTGAAGCATCATAGTCAACACAATCCGAGAAGATCTTTTAGGAAATCTAGTTTTAAGTTTGAATTCAAAACACTTGGAATTATCTTTAAGATTATTTTGCATTTGAATTTCTTTGTTATTTTAGGGATTTGGAAACCTGTAAATACCCTCTTTAGGGGCATGTCATGGATATCGTGAATTTATCTTTGTTATTTTATTTTAATTTTATAAAAGTTTTCTTTTTATTTCATTTCCGTTTTTACTTTACTTAAGGTTTATCGCTTTTTATAAGACATGCTAAGTATGATTTCTATCATGCTTAGTTAATTTTCTATTTAGCCAAGAGGTAGCGATGACTCAATTCTAACTGTGAGAATTGAAAAGCACTTAACATCCTTTGGGTTACATATTCAGTTTTCTGAAAATTAGGATTGACAATCGACCTATCCTTTAAAATCAAAACGCTTTCATATCAAAAAGTTGACGTTGGTCTAGATGTTGTTCTGATTTACAATTAGGAGGAAAGATAACATGTGGCATATTCAACTTCTTGTGAACACACTTAGCGACAATCCGTTAAGGGAAACTAAAATCGGATTCGATCCTCAACGAGACAACATAATCCATGCCGGTCTTTTCCAAAACTTAATTTGATTTGCTCTAGCGACGATAGTCGTAGTTAGTTTTAAGTTTGAATTCAAAACACTTGGAATTATCTTTAGGATTATTTTGCATTTGAATTTCTTTGCTATTTTAGGGATTTTAAAACCTATAAATACCCTCCTTAGGTGTCTGACTTGGATATATTAAATTTATATTGGTTATTTTATTTCTATTTTATAGAAGTTTCATTCTATTTCATTCCTGTTTTTACTTTACTTAAGTTTTATAATTTTTTATAAAACATGCTAAGTATAATTTATATCATGCTTAGCTAATTTTCCATTTAGCCGAGAGGTAGTGATGACTCAATTCCAAATGTGAGAATTAAAAAGCACTAAACATCCTTCGGGTCACATTTTTAGTTTTCTGCAAACTAGGATTGACAATCATCCTATCCTTTAAAATCAAAACACTTTCATATCAAAAAGTCAACGTTGATCTAGATGTTATTATGTTTTATAGTTGGGGGGAAGGATCGGCTTATGGCATATTCGACTTCCTGTGAACACACTTAGCGGCGATCCACTAAGGGAAACTGAAATCAAATTTGATCCTCAGCGAGACAATATAATCTGAGTCGGGCTTTTCCAAAACTTAATTTGATTTGTTCTAGCATCGATAGTCGTAGTTAGTTTATTCAAGTACCGGATTTCAGAGGTTGACTTGGGAAGATCGGTTACCAAGGAAAAAAATCAAATTACAAGGGTTGAGCCTTGTAGACTATATCCGGCATGTATCCTAGAGTAAAATTCATTTCAATGATCAAAGTGAATTGAGTTAAAGCAAAGCTCAAGGCTATTTTCTATTATATTTGTTTTCAACTTTTTAATTTAATTTGCTGTTATTTTCATTTATTTTTACTTAATTAATATTCAACCAAACTTCCCTTATTTACTTTTGTTACAGCTACCTGGATCGAAATCAAAGCAACTCAATATAAGAATTTCTAAGTCCTGCAAATTGATCCTTTTCTTCTCTATACTACTATATTATTATTTATTTTTTTAAGAAAAGAAATTTATTTAACAAGTAAAACGACACTTGTCACTCTCAAATAGAATGAATATTCACATGTTTGCAATGGTAAGAAATATAGATAAGTTCGGAGTTGGAAGCAAAGGCTATGAAATTTGCTGCTGTTCGTTGTCACAACTATTTTCTGCTGCAGGGGGAGTTATGAGGAAGATGGATATTTGGTTTTACTTTAGCCTTGTAAATTGTTCTATTTTCCCGTGGTTGTGGTTGAGGTCGAGGCTCGTGACTCGTGGTAATACGTCTCTTCGACAAGTCCGTGCGGATATTATCTTTTTGGAAAAAATTTGTAAGGATTTTCTTGAGCATAAAAGATTTTGAAAAAAATTCTCTCTGATATTTATAGGTCGTACAAGAGTTATGTTTGATTCAAATTTTCAGAAGATAACAACTGATTAATTAGCTTTCTTTTGATTTATGCAAATTAAAATTAGAACAGTTAGATTTTGGAATTTAAATATGTGAAACGTTGGATGTATTTGGACAATATTTTAGCTTTTTCACAGTTTTTGTTGTGTTAGTTACAGAGTAATTACAAGAGTTACCAAGTGTAATTACATGAGTTACAAATGGCTGAAAATTAAATCACGAATCTGGACTGCTTTGGGGCCATGTTCATTTGTTTATGACAGCAGTTTTAGAAAGACTTTAAATTCAGAAACTAAATCAGATTTATTTCTGATTTATGCTTGTATGTTTTTCCCTTACTTCAGCGTATAAATAGAGAGACTTCCTAAGCATCTCAACTCACTCTCAACTTTCACGTACCCTCTCAATGTAGAAACTTTTCAAGCTTTCTTTCTCTACTACTATCAAAAAAGATGTACCATCGATAGTCCACTCCAGTTTCAGCTGTACAAATTCTCAGAGCGACTGTGGTAACATCGGGGGACGATATGCCTATTGCAGTGATTACACACATCGAGGCGAATCTATTTCTAAGGCAATGGTTTCCACCACGACACAGTTTCGATTGGTAATTTGAAAATTATATTTTTGATTTTTCCTGTCAGTGCTAACAGTGTGATTTTGCAGTCTATATTTCCAACATTATCATCGTCCAACTCAACTACTCAAGAAATTACCCTTTTAGACCATATTATATCTCTTATTGAACAAGATTGAGAGATTCCACTTACTCTTATAAGAAGGGAAACGGATTCCACAACTGATACACTTCTAGGTATGGGCATATGGCTAGAGGAAATCTTGTTGGTGAAGTTTTATTTGATGAACCACCTATTATTATGGTCACGTTGATATCTAAGAGGCTGTCGGAAGTAACTCCTACTTTTATCTGAATATTCTTGGTTAGGAAAAAAATGGCCATGAGATTTTCATTATGAATGCAATGTCAAGTGCCTTACTACAGTAAAAATGGACAGTCTATTAATAGGGATTAAAATCAAGTAATCGTTGAGGTTTCATTCGGATCCTAACAAGTCATATCAAATTGGATATATTTCGTGTTAGGTCAATTTTATGGTTCGAATCGGATCAGGTTGGGTATGAGTCAAATCCCTTCGGCTCATTTTCATGTTGATTTGACATCAGTTTTAGTTCAGGTTCGGATCGAGTTAATTTCAGTTCGGATCGATGTTAGTTCAGGTCAAAACGGTTCAGGTCCGAATCAGTTAAATTCCATGTTAATTCAGGTTTGTATAGACTTCAGTCGGATCTCGTTCAGATCGGGTCACGTCATTGACAAACAAAAGTTAGGTTAGATCTTACCGGGTATGGATTGAGTTCAGGTTAGGTCATTTTTGAGTTAATTATTTTTCATTATTCATGAACGACAAATTGCAATTTGTAATTATATATAATTTGGACTAAATTACAAAAAAATATAAATAATTATGAGTCACTTTTAATAAAAATATAATTTTGAGGACTAAATTAAACAGACAAAAAATTATAAATTTAAATTAATTAAACAACACAAATGGATGAGGGATTAAAAATAAATAATTATAAGGGTAAATTATTTCAAATACCACTCACCTTTAAGCGCAAACTCGAAAATGCCACTAACGTTTTAATTTTACCAATTTTAACCCTAACATTATGTTTATCTTCAATTTAGCCACTCTACCATTAATTCATAAGCGACGCGATGACATGGCATCTCTATGCCATGACAGTGATGATATGACTCCATCATCAAAACGATGTCGTTTTGGTGAAACTATTTTGATACTAAAAAAAACTCAAAACGATGTCGTTTTATTAGAGTTATTTGATGAAAATATGCTTTACATGAGCTTCAAACCGAAGACATCTATGAAACCAATACTAAACACCCAACCATCAAGTTAACTTGAGAACTTGTTATTTTCAAATTATAGAGTTTATACATAGTAGTATATAAACTATATATAAACTATATAATTTATATATATATAATATTTAATTTATATATAGTATATAAAAAGAAACTATATAATTTATATATATTATATTATTATATAGTTTATATATATTAATATATTATAATTGTTTCAATTTTTTTAATTTTTGAAATGAATGCAATTTAGTCCATTTTACATATTTTCTTCATATTTTACAATTATTTCGATTTGATCTCTTTGTGTTGTTTAATTTATTTAAAATTTCATA